TCTGAACTCAGCACGTCCGATCGAATGTCCGGAGAATTCCGTTAATTGCCTATCCATGCTCTTGACGCCCAATCCCTTAACCCAAAAATCCCTTAAAAAAAATTGCAAGCCGGTTCTGTTTTGTTCGAAAATCTCGGCGACCCGGAGCTGGAAAAGCTGTAAATTTTAACGGGCGCCCCCGGGGCAAGCTGTTCGTTTCACGGCGCAAATTAGTGCTCATTTTACGGCGTAAGCGGATTTCGGGTCATGGGCATGTTGTGCTTGGCTCGGCTGTTAGTTTTTGAGCATGAAGTCTTAGCTTTAGCAATTCAGCTACGGATCCTCATTGTAGAATTCATTCCCACTTGTTGAAGCACATTCCACCACCCCCACATCTAATAGGCCGTCTCGCGCTGGCCATTCTTGGAATTCCTTGTTTTAGTGGTAGAAATTTAACAACCAATGTGTTTTTAAAAATTCTTAAAAACATATCGTCAAAATTCCAACATCAGCGCTATGGAGTAGACGCAAATTTTCGTTGCATCGGGCACTTATTCTGCAGATTTCTGCATCGGATAATAGAGGCTGGAGCAAAAGGGGAAAGGGTGCTCAATATCCCCCCTCTTCCCGGCAGGATTTTTGGTCTTTAGGGCTCAAAGTTTATGGCATGTTCTGAACGCTAGTAGCGTATTTATCAGAATTTTAATCCTAGGACTTTAAAAATGGATCTTACGCAATTTTACAATACTTTACATACGCTACGAGGCTTTATCGACGTTACTTTACGTCACGTAAGTGCTGATACCTTTAACGTGATACCTTATGCATTGACCAAGCGATACCTTCCCGTCCTCACTAACCTAGCACGTACGCTGCTTTATCGTACCAGATTACGCTTTGTACCGGGTGACTCACAACTTTTTTTTGAATTTACGATATCTTCTGAACGCTGGGGTACTTTGAGTACGTAACGAAACCATATGGACGCTGCTCGTCGTAGATCTCGCGTTGACCTCACGCATACTTTACGTATCATATTTGATGTATGTATGTACGTACCATTCAAGTATTCATTGATGTACCTCCTACACACCTACAGATACCTTACGTATATCGTAGACATCTTTGCGCTTACCGCACACAGATTTCCTACTTTCTTGATGTTCGCTTTTCCGATTCCCCGGCTTCTTCTAGCCCCCTCCCCCCTTATCCAACTTTGATGGAATGTCAGAAAACTTAAGGGCCTCTTGCTTTTCGATTCCCCTTGTTTCTGGGCAAGAAAAAAAAACTTTCCCCTGCCCCTCCCCCGGGGCAAATCTCATTTTCGCGCATGGCGGGATCACTCAAAACTCCTGTGGCCCGGCCCCCCTTAACCCATGGGAACGGCTTTCCTGTTGGCGTTTTGATGGAAAAGTCGAGTGGTTTTTTTCAGCTTTCATGCTGTTTTCTGTAAGATTCTATTGAAAAGCGGATGACTAAGTTTTTTTGGCGAAAGAGACCGTTTTCGACGGCCGAAAAGATGTGTTTTTAGGCGCCATTCGAAATTTTGGGAAATAGGGATTTGCGCACCTTTCATTTCACATTTTTCGATACATTTTTCGTAGTCTTTCCATTCCAATTTTTTCTTAAAGAAGCCGCACAAAATTTTGATCCAATTTGTAGGGAAACCTTAAAAAATTCGGAGGTCTCGGCCTTTTAGAGGATTTAGTGGTCTAAAACTTGAATTCGCTTTCTTGCTTGCTCTCTCCCTCCCTCTCGTCCTCTCTCTCTCACTTTCTCTCCCTCTCTCATTATTTCTATATCGCTATGTACCTTTACTATCATACAGATCAAATGCTTTATTTATCAAGCTTAACGTTCGTAAGGTATCAATTTTCATTACTTTCTAACCCCACTTCTCTGTAGTGTATTTTAATCCCCGCCGGTCATTGTTTATACTTCTTCCTGGAGTGCGGCGCAAAAAGATGTCGTCGATTCCGGGCGGCCTACGCTGATGTTAGGGTGGTGTATATGGAGCCCGATTTACAAACAACTCGAAATTTCCTCGCCTATATATTTTTTCCGCTTTTCCCGAGCCGTGTAAAACTTCAAAAAAATTTATCTCATTTTTCCGAGGTGTGAATTCCCCCGGTCAAGCATAGCATGACCCAATTCAGCCGGCGGGACAGTGGGGGTGCGATACCTCAACCTCATAACTGCCCCATAGCAATCCCCAACCAAACCAGCCCCCTATTCATATCCGGCGTTCCCCCCTTTTGCCCTATTCCCGGCTATTCTATCTAGCTATCTATCGGAAATCGTGTGCTCTCTCTCTCTCTATCTCTCTCTCTCTCTCTCTCTCTCTCTCTCCCCAGGTCCTTCCATAACCAACAGAACAGCTGCGTTCCATCTATGGGCTAGCCCCGGAAATTGGGGTGGAATGGAATATTTTACATAGACATGCTAAAACAGGGTTCCGTTGTTGCGCAAGCAACAGTTTTCGACAGTTTTACGATCCGTCCTTTCCCATTTTGTAGAAAGATGTAGATTAATGAAGAGCCCCAATTTGCTAAAGCTGATTTAAGAATTTTGGTCTAGGCGTAAAAGCGAACCGGAAGTTCTGTAAAATCCAAAAACAGAAACCTTGAATCAGGGCCAGGAACATGAAAAAACAGGAAAAACACCGTAATTCAAGATTTATTAGAGAAAAGGCAGAATTTTCCATTTTTAGTAATTTGTGCGCGATAGAAAAGCAGCAGGTTACAGGATTTTTGTTGTAGTAAAAAGATACCTTAAAACTCAATTTTTTTATAGATCGTTAAATCCGCCCTTTTTTCCAATTAGCTTATCCAAAAATTAATTGCCCTTTTCAAATCACCCAAACAATAGCCCAGAACGGACCGGAAAACGGGATGTACCTAGCCTACCTAGATTCTTTTGTGCTAATTGGGTCCATCCAAAAGGCAATCCCACCCCTCCGACCGGAATTCCCCCTAGGTTTTGGCAATATCCGGCGGGTGGCCTAGTCAAGGGCCCTTGGGCCACAGGAGACCCCGCGGTGCCCAGATGTGCCCGCATTTTGTGGCCCCCACCCATTTTCTTTTCTCTTTTCGAGGGGGGGACATGCAGCTGAAATCCAGCTCTTCCTTCCCTGGTCGCTCTCGTCACCAGTACAAATGGCTTAAATTGGTCGCTTTTTGTGCGTCAATCGGCTCATTTCGTAATAGGATTTGCCAGCGAATTTTTTGAATTTTCGCATTGCAATTAGGAGCGGGTGGACATTTTGGGAATTTTGCAGACGCGGGCTGGAATGTACTAAATTGTCTGGGAACCAGACGTTTTTGGGCGTGGATTTTGACGATATTTTGGGTGGTTTTGTTTTGTTCACGCCATGGTTTAGGAAAGATAGATGGCTTTTGCTCGCCCTCACTCTCATTCTCACTATCTCTCTCTCTCTCTCTCTCTCTCTCTCTCTCTCTCTCTCACTCTCGGTATATCTCGATTTTGTCTGCTCTCTTGGTCTCTTTCTCTATCCATCTATCTATCTCCCTTTCTATCTGTGTCTCTCTCGTCCTCTCTCTCCTGCTCTCTATCTCTCCTTCTCTCGTTTTCTCTAGCTTTTCTCATGCTTTCTATCTTACGCTCACTTTCGTCCTCTCCCTCCCCTTTCGTCTCGCCTTCTTTCTCTCGCTTTCTTTCTAGCTCATGCTCAATCCCTCTCATGCTCAATCCTTCTCAATATTTATTTTGTCTCTGTCATTACCTCTGGCTGTCTTTCTCTCTATCGCTCTCTCTCTCTCGCTCTCTCTCTCTCTAACGATGACAAAACTTCGTAAAATCAAACATTTTTGTTGAGCGCCTAATCCTGATTTTCAATGCAGATGTCGACTTAGAATTTTGCAAAATCCGTACCGCACTTTTAGATCAAAAATGCTGTGAATCCACGAGCCCTGATCGCTTTCCAGCCGTTTTTCCGCCCCAATATTTTGACCCATTAGAAAGGTGTCGTTTCCGGCGTCGATTTTCGGATTATTGCCGCTGCCGGCATTCTCGGTCCACTTAAAACTCAAAAATAATCCCCTCATGATCTTCGTCGAATGTCTAATGTCTAATTTTTACAATTTTCACATTTTTCAGTTTTGTTTTTGGTTTATTCTTTCGGTTTTTTAGTTCCCTCGAAATGCGCATAAAATTTCGGCGGAAAGCTGGATTTCCGTGACTTGATTATGCGCTACAACCGGTGGTTCTGCTGTGTGAGTTTGAGCATCTACTAGGGGGCTTGAAAATTGGTCTGGAGTTGGTAAAAGAATAAAAAAATTAAAGGGTTCGAAAAATCGACCATAACATGGGCCTCAATAATTCGGTATTTTAGTCGTTCTACGCCCGGAAGCAACGGCGTCACGATGCGCACCAGGCTGTTCATCCCACGGCTTCTGGTAGGTTACATAGAAATGACAAAATTCTGAGTTTAAAGGAACAGGTAAGGCGGACGCGCGGGCCGTAACTGGCGGGAACTAGTTGATCCTGGGGGTCGACTACACAGCTTTCTAACATCTTTAAAGGGAGGGTCAAGGGTAGACTGGACTTTTTTGGATTTGATGAAAGGACTGTGACCGCGATACGCGACGCGAGCGCTAGCGGGTAGAAAGCTTAGCGTACGCGTTGCGTATTAGAGTTTCAAAAATTCTTTTGCGAATCGTGTCTACCGAAATCCATAGTCAGACGGTTCCTTTAAAATGCGCGCGTCGGAGATAAAAATGACAGAGAGGCAGAGAGAGAGGGAGAGAGAGAGAGAGAGAGAGAGAGAGAGAGAGAGAGAAACAGAGAGACTAAGTTTTCAACCTGAAAAGCTCTCCTTGCCAGTAACGCGCTTGTGGCGAATTACCTGGTGTAACTTATTACGCCAATTTTGACACTATTAGAGGCAAATTCTCAGAATTTTCGAATTACGTGGCGTAATTTATTAGGATTTAGCTAGAGTAACTGGTCGCACCGATTTCCGCGATTTTCTTACAAACGATTTTCCAGGTGTTCACCAATCGATGGCCCAACAGCAGCAGCAACCACCACCCCAACAGCTGCAACAGCTACAGCAGCAGCAGCCCCAGAGCTCCGGCCTGCAACAGCAACAACAGCAACAAGTACAGCAGCAGCAGATGATGGCCCAACAACAGCAACAGGCCCATATGCAACCGACGAATGACTATGTGCTCCAACAACAACAGATCTACCAGCAGCAGCATAAGTAGGTTTCCTCGGGGGTTTATCGGGTGCAGCAAAATGAGTAGAAAATTTCTGGGTATCATTTAAAAGGGAATTTAAAGTCAGCAAGCTTCAAGTTCGAGTGAATTTTGGGTAAATATGTTTTTCAGAAGTAAAGGTCTGTCATTTTTTGTTGCTACATCCTTTAAACCGACCATGTAAGGATTTTTGCTTCAAATCCAAATTCTGACTTTTCAAAATTTTATAACTTCCACATTTTTTTGAAAATTTTAAAATGACGTTGTTTGGCTTTCTTGCCTTTTTAAGGCATCATGAATCGATGTTCTAATTAAAATATTAATTTTTATTTATGGCGATTTGTCCAGATTTTTAAGGTCAGAATTTTTTGAAATTTAAGCTGACTTTTTTGCCTTCCTCGTCCCTTTAAAGCGACCTTTAGATAGATCTTCGGTTTAAAAACATGAATTATACTATTTTTGTAAGTTTCATGCGTGCAGCAATCTTTCAAACTTCTTAAGTGAGAGTTTTTGGCTTCACAGTCGCTTTAAAAATGCTAGAACATCATTTGATTTTGGCAAATATCTTATCGATTTTGCGAGATTTCATTGATGCACAGGCTATTATAACCTGAAAATCCGTTGAAAAATCGCTTTATATGGTCGTCCTAGTTGCCATATGCTATTTTGCGCTCAAAGAGTCAGCTGAGAGGGTGAGGACCAGCCCCACTTCTTTCGTTTTCTATTTGGCGCCCCGGCCGGCTGGGGGCAGATCTGTCACTTATCTGATAAGAGGGCGGTGGCAACGAAAGGGCACACGGCTCCCACAGACGAAATCCCGTGATTTCGCGTTTGCCAATTTGGCAGTTTTTGATGCCAATTTGTTTAGATTATATAACATCAAGACCTTAAAAAATGACTTTCCCGTTCTTTTAAAGGAGCCAGAAAGCGCCAAAATCGTCCCCTATTGGTTGGCTGGGTCTCGACAGCTATGTTCGACTCCAAATTACACCTCAATTCATTTTTTCTAATGCTTAGAAAAGTAAGTCTTGGTGCGTTGCGTAGTTGTCGAGACCCAGCCATCAAAAAGGGTCGATTTTAAGCCTTCCTAGCCCCTTTACAACGAAAAATTTTGATCTGACTGCAACCCCAATCTAGCCACAATGAGGAAACGTCTATTTACACAAACTTTTTTCAATAGTCTGCCTCCAAAAAACGGGCTTCAATTTGGCCGTTCCTACGTGGAGGGAACGTTGCGAGTCCGCCCCTTTTGAGCCCAACCTCAAACAGCTCCCTTAAACTGCTAGGAGTCGTAGAAAGTTCAGGGCATTTTCTGTTTTCTGCCCCGACTTGTCGTCTCCAGGGTTTTGGTCCAAAATTTCTGCTTATCATTTTTGAAGGACGGAAAGTACCCTGAAGGAGGCAGGTCGAAAAGTACTGAATCTCTAATTCCGGTTTTAGCATAAAAACAAGTATCGCTTGGCTGGTTTTGGGGGTATATAAGGTTTCGCGGAGGTTTCTGCTTTCAATGCGATTTTTAAACTAGAATTTTTTGCTCTCCCTCTCTATCTCTGGCGCTCGCTCTTTCTCTCTCTCGCTCTCTTTCTTTGGCTCTCTCTCTCTCCTTGTTTCTCTTTCTAGATACCTCGCACAATTCACATGCTCACCGACATGCTCACTCTCTCCCGCTCTCTCTCTGGCTCTCTCTCTCTCTCTCTCTCTCCCTTTCTGTCCCCCTGCAAGCTTCCCCAGTAATCTCTGCAAGCGTCTCAAACCTATAATAAAAATCATCACTTTTCTTGCACTCCAAAAACCTACTACTCTCTCTGTGACAAGGTAAATATTACACACAGATCCCCCCGAAAATGAGTAGTGACCGGGCTTTGTCGAGCTAGTAGCCGAGAGAGGAAGTGAGAGAGTAGTGAGAGAGAAACAGAGAGAGAGCGTGTGAGATTGAGTGCCGGCTAATTTCCCGGAATCCCCTTCTTCCTCTGCTGCTTGTTCTTCCCCTTTGTCAGCTGCCCCATCCTCCTGGGCCCTAAAACACTGGCGTGGTCTTGTGCGTGTAATGGGGCGTTTCAGGGCGACCGCTCTCGGCAATTAGGCCTGCTAGTTAGATCTAACTAGGTGACATTTTTTCCACAATTTTGGCAGCTAGTCAACAACATTTCCTATTTTGATAAAACCTTCGGCAATTTTGATAAAACTATCTGCATTTCTGGCAAATTCTTTTTCCTAGGTCTGTATTTACAGTATCTTAATGTAATGACATGTAATATTCGTTGCCGTAATGCACCTATTTCATCAAAAACGTACTAAAAAGCTTAAAGTCTTCTCAAAGTTACTTTTTTTTTGTTTTGACGTCTACAACGAGCTAATTGCACTATTTTAGGGCATCCTAAGGTTATAAAACCTCTCATTTCCCCAGTCACACGTCCCCACCAAGTTCAAGTCCATAGTACCACTTTTTCCAAAAGCGCTGTCCGGAGGCGCGTTGCGTAGTGTGTGTGTCCCGAGGCACGATGGGAGGAGCCCGCTTTCACAAGGTCCCAGCCGGGCCTAAGGGCCCAACAGGACCTCCGGGCTTGTCATTTGACCCGGCGAACGGCACGGGAACGGGTCCCCATTCTGTACGAGCCATTAAGAAAATGACTACTGCGGTTAGAGGGCTTGAACTTGGGTTGTATAATGGCTATAGTTTTGGGTAGAATTACTTGTTTTCTTCTTTTTCTCTGGGTCTCGCTCACTCTCTCCCTCATGCTCTATATCTCTATCTAGCTCGTTCTCTTTCATTTTTTTCTCACTCACTCGCTCTTTTTAAACCCCCGTTTTCGAACATTTCAAAAATCTCTGATTTCTTTAAGATGGTAAAATTTCGATAAATCTCTCTCCCTCTCTCTCTCGCTCTCTTTTTCTCTCTCTCTCGCTTGTTCACATCAACTTTTTTGACTTTTAGTCACATTGCCGAGATTCTCCGTCTGCTAGTCTATTTTCTAAAACTCGTCTCGGCGCGCATTCGACTGATGGAGCTGCTGACTTCGGGAGCTCTGGTAGCCTACTGGCTACCAAAGCCCTTTTCACCGAAATATTACAAAATGTAGGACATCAAAAGCATAGCTAAACACAAGCTAGTCGGGAAAATTAGCTGGAAAATCACGTTTTGAGGGTATTGGAATTTAAAGAGCTTCAATGGCTCTTAGAAATAAGATAAATTGCTAAACCTAAAGCTAAAGCCGATTATCATGTTTTTTCAGATTCGAGCCCCTACAACAAATCCCGGACCCAATTGCCCACTCCAGCCACCAGGACCCGAACTCTTTCGACCCGAACAAGTCGGCGAGGCAACGGGCTAGTCGGTGAGTATTTGAGGATTATCTCAAATTCTTGAAAGTGTAAACCTATAATTAATGATGATTAGTAGACTATTTTATAGCTCCATCCGTTGCTAAAATCGTACTTAAAATAGCGCCTCCGGCAGTTTATCGCCCACGAGTCAGTTAGTCACCCCAGAAATACCCTTTCTGTCACCTGGGCCTCTTTCTGTGGTTTTTTACGCGTAGGGTGACCCGTTCAAAAACCCAAACCCAGATGTGGGCAGATTAGTCATCGGTAGAAGCACGTACGACTTGACTTGACCATCGCAAAGAGTAACGTGGTGTACTTAGGAAAATCGCTAACTAGGGAAGTGCAAATAAAAAATCTGGAAAATCGCTTAGCAAAAATATGGGTCTGATAGAGTCGACGACGGGGATTCCGAAACTGCAATCAGAATTTGCAAAACGCTTAATACAAAAAAGTTATGAGCATTTTAAGTTTACAGCACTTTTCTCGCCCTCCCTTATGAGCCCCTCCCCAAGCCGGGTGTCCGCATGTCGAGTGGTGTAGTGGCTAACTAGCCTGCCCCTGGTGCGGAGGGTCTTTGGTTCGGCTCCCCGGTCATGCCAAATTTTTTGCTTTTTGGTCAAAGTCAAGAACTTTAGACTTCTTCAAAGTTTCGAAGTCCGAAATTTAAATTTTTGAACATTTTCTTTACTATTGACTGCGTGTAGGCTTACCTTACGAAAAAACAGAGGTGAATTTTTTTAGTGCCCTACCCGTACTCCCGTACGGGCGTACGGGTAGGGCAGTACTTGCACTCCCGCCACCACTTCGTAATCGGTTTCATGAATTTAAAAATTAAGAGAAAGGGCTTTTCGACTTTGAAACTTTGAAGAAGTCTAAAGTTCTTGACTTTGACCAAAAAAGCAAAAATTTGGCATGACCGGGGAGCCGAACCAAAGACCCTCCGCACCAGGGGCAGGCTAGTTAGCCACTACACCACTCGACATGCGGACACCCGGCTTTGGGAGGGGCTCATAAGGGAGGGCGAGAAAAGTGCTGTAAACTTAAAATGCTCATAACTTTTTTTGTATTAAGCGTTTTGCAAATTCTTATTGCAGTTTCGGAATCCCCGTCGTCGACTCTATCAGACCCATATTTTTGCTAAGCGATTTTCCGGATTTTTTATTTGCACTTCCCTAGTAAGGGCAAAATCTAGGTGGTACGCTCAGAATGCGTAATTCTGCTCAATCCTGGACGCCTTCGAGCGTTTATTAATGTTACTTGTCCAAAAATCTTAAAGATGTTGAGATTTCTGTAATTTTTATCTTAGTTAGATAGTGATTAATATCAATAAAGTTTACAGAACGGGTTAGAGCGTAATTAAGTTTCATACGGCTCGATAGAATCCACACTTTTGGGGTTTTTGATCAGAAAATACCTTCCATAAACGACCGCAGCCCTGTGGTCTCTAGTCAAGCAGCCATTAATGCGCAAATACCACTTTAAGAGCTTTTGTCACTTTGATCCGCTGTTCTGACAAAGTCCACTTGTAATTACGCGTAGTGTATCGGGGAGCCATTCCGCGAAAAGCCTCTTTTACGCTTTTGCGCTTCAATTTTGAGGACGACATCTGGTTCTCAAGCAGATAGAGGGTGATAGAGAGAGAAAGAGAGAGAGAGAAAGAGAGAGAGAGAGACAGAGAGAGCTTCGAACTATACAAAAAGCGCAGACATACGGACAGACGGCTTTTTCCCCTTCGAGCCATGTTATGGGATGGGAAACAGCAGCAGCAAACGCACGCGTAAATAAACATGCTGCCATGTGGACTTTCGTTTGTCTCGACCGGCCGGTCGGGACCCCCCCCCCCATGGGGCTTAAAATCAGCTGGTTATCAACGCGGGGAATGCACACAACAAAAGCAGACCGCTTAAGAAAATAAACACGTCAAAATTGAAGGATTGTTGGTGGTGTACAGTGGGGATCAGAACCATTTTTTGTAGAATCCAAAATTAAAAATGACATTTCCAACATCTCAAGAACCTGAAAAATCCCAAAATGAAAAATTTAAGATAAAAACATACGAATAATTAAACAGACCTGCAGTTTTAAAATTCTAATTTTAAAAATTCGTAAAAACAAAATATTTTTAGAATATACCTATTAATTAATTAAATATTAACCAAATTAATAATAAATCAAAAGAAATAAGAACGAAAATTAAAAAGATGAATTTCATTTTAATATATTTTTTTCAGTAACGGCCCGAACAACGACGGCTACGACGATGTCAATTTCGACTATATCGTCAAGGAGGGCGAATTTTTCAACAATCGATACCTGATTATGGGGCCGATTGGGAAGGGATCGTTTGGTCAAGTGACGAAGGCATATGATAAGGTAAGAAAAATAGAACAGACGTTAGAAACGATGCTTTTTAGGTCGAAAAAGAGTACGTGGCGATAAAAATCATCAAAAACAAGAAGACGTTCTTCGACCAGGCCCAGATTGAGATTCGGCTGTTGGAGATGATGAATCGACATGACTCGGAGGGGAAATATAATATTGGTAAGTTACTTAGCGTCATCAGATTTTGCATTTAAGCGTATTATACTATTTCTATACTAAATATAATATCAGTAACCAATAAAAATTTTACTAGAACTATTTGATATTCATCTGATAGTTTTTTCCTTGCTACTCTTTATTAATAGCATTTTTGCGTAATTTTAATTATTTTCCAAGACTTCAATGCCTATTCTTGCTACAATACTAAGAGTATTAAGTTAAATAATAAAAATAATGCAAGAAATAAAGGAACAGGTTAGCAGAGATTTTTTGTGACGATTTCGGCTTTCTTGAAAACCGAACTCCCCCTTAAAAATATCTTTTTTAACAGCTATTTTAACATAGCTTGATCAAATAGCAAGAAAATGAAAAATACGAAGGCAACCTAACAGAGATCATTTGGGAATATAAGCTTTTCTAAAACTTGAATCAGATTTTGTCCCTAAAAATAGCCTTTTTTCAGTGCAACTCAAGTCCCACTTCGTCCATCGCAACCACCTGTGCCTCGTCTTCGAGCTGCTCAGCTACAATCTCTACGACTTGTTGCGAAACACCAACTTCCGAGGTGTCTCCCTGAACTTGACGCGGAAGTTTGGGCAGCAACTTGCCAAGACGCTGCTCTTCCTGTCCACGCCCGACTTGTCGATCATCCACTGCGATTTGAAGCCGGAGAATGTGTTGCTCTGCAACCCGAAGCGGTCCGCCATTAAGATTATCGATTTTGGGTCGTCATGCCAGACCGGTCATCGGATATACCAATATATTCAGTCGAGGTAAGAATTTTAATTAATTCTGCTTTTTATTTTTGATCTTATTATCATATTCTTATTCGAGGAATTGATATATACGAAAAATTCAATGAAAAGGGCTCAAAAGCTTTATTTTTTTACTTGGCTTTGAAACACAAAACCCCACGCTTGAAGCTCTAAAATCCAAAGTTTCCAGATTCTACCGGTCGCCCGAAATCCTGCTCGGCATCGCTTACGACACGAAAATCGATATGTGGTCGCTGGGTGAGTGTTCGACTGGGGCCAACTTCTATGATTTTTTCTGCTCAAAAAAGAGTGTCGCCTGTAGCGTGATGGAACAGACGAGTTTTTGCACCTCGCTTACCTCGGGGCACACAGCTGTTCGGGCCTTTGGACTTGCAAAAGCGAGAGAAAGAGAGAGAGAGAGAGAGAGAGAGAGAGAGAAGGGGAGAGAAAGAGAGACAGAGGGAGAGACAAAGAGTTGATAGTTCGAGGAAATATGAGTCACGAGTTTGGGGGTAGGGCACGGGAACCGGGGAAAAACGTGAAACTTGTGAAATCGAGACCGAGGTGGTCAAGGGGAGACTCTAGGGTTTAGCAGAATTTGTCATTTTAAAGGGACAGGCAAGGCGCGTCGTACCAATTTTCCGCGAGCGCCACACTCGACGCGTCCGGTTACGGTTCCATTCCGAAATGTGTTGCGTGTTGCATCTGAGGGGAAATTTTTCAGAAATCCATAGCCAAAACATTTTTGTCTTAACCATCCCTTTAAGGATCTTAATAATCACGAAATTCGATACTTTCGTTAGCTAGGTCTAGACAGTTATACATACAAAACAATACGCTGAACGACATTCCGGGCCTCTAAAGTCGCCAGGAAAGCGTTAACTGGAGTATCTCGTAGTTGTTGAGGCCTAGTCAACTTAGAGGGGACGAATCCAACCATCCCAGACCCGTTTAAGGGATAGTGACAGCACGCGCCGCTACAATAGTCCTGGAAACGGATAGAGTCAACGAATTACAATCAATTACGATCTATTTTTTCAGGCTGTATCCTCGTGGAGATGCACACCGGCGAGCCGCTCTTCGCCGGCTCCTCCGAGTTGGACCAGATGATGAAGATCGTCGAGGTTTTGGGGATGCCGCCCAAAGAGATGTTGGATCAGGGACCGAAGACCAAGAAGTATTTCGACAAGACTGAAGGTGAGTGTATGGAAAGGAAGGATACCTTACGTACCCATATACCTGGATTTAGCGATTCCTCTCCCTACCAGAGATAGCATTAACTATGATCCAAAACGACCTGTCCCAACGCGTCAAAAACTATACCGCCTTCTTTCAGATGGTGTCTACTACTGTAAAAGAGCCCGTGGCAGCTACACGAAGCCGTACGAGCCGCCCGGCCACCGGAAACTTCATGATATCCTTGGTGTAACGAGTGGAGGACCACATAGCCGGCGAGCCGGTGAAGCAGGTCACTCTGTCGAGGACTACTGCAAGTTCAAGGTGAGGGAGAGAGGGAAAAGGAGAAAGAGACAGAGTGAGAGAGAGCGAGAGAGAGGGCGATAGAAAGTGAGACAACTAGAATCTCAAACCTTTCAGGACCTCATAAAGCGTATGCTCACCTATGACCCCAAACTGAGGATATCCCCGCATTTCGCGATGCGACACCCATTTTTGAAGAAGACAAAGGAGGAGCAGGGCTCAAGTATGGCCGCCCCGCAACAACCACAACCCCAACAAGTCCAGCAAGCTCAGGAGACGGTAAGTAGAGCAGTTTTTCGAAAGCTAGGAAATTTCATTGAATCGAAAAGCAAAAAATTAAAGCTGAAATATGTAGCTAAATCGCTAAATTATTTGTTTTAGCCCGATACGCGCAGGAGATGTGGGGCAGCCAGCAGATGGACACGAGCGAGCCGATGGACCCGAATGCCCAGCAGCAAATGGGATACGCGCAAATGCCCGGGCCATCCGCTGTGCAGATGCCACCCCAGATTGACGTAAGTTATGGGTTTTTGATAGTATTATGAATTCAACATGTAGTGTAACTTTTAAAGTAATAATTTTATATTATTTTGGACCGTTTTCGATACCTTTTAAGGCCCTAAATACGACAATTTTTACAGTACACCCGCCGGGACAACAACGACCCAACGAAGCCAAATTTCGGAGGCCACTTTTCGTATTCGACGAACGACATGTACCATCCGAATGTGAGTTTTTGAGATGTAATTAGCGCGCAAAAAAATAGGTAAACTGTTAAGTTTTTTTGGCGAAAGGGATTATTTAAATAACGATTAAAATTGACTAACATTAAAGACTTTGTAAATTATCTAGATTGCCATATATTTCTTATCAAAAACCTTGTTAACTTATTAGCCATGAAACGTATTAACTACATTGAATTTCGCTTTTTAAACGCTTGTTTTCAGGGCGTTGGCCAGGGCCCGATGCGGAATCACTCGTTCGACTCGCGGGTAGCCCCTCAACCGCCAAAAGCCCCTCCAGCCCCGGCCCCGAATCAGCCAAGCTACCCGGGTTTTCAGCAATGGGCCAGCCACAAGCACCTAGTTTCACTTAATTTAAATTAAGCCTGATAGAATTTTAAATATTCACAAGTTTTTCATTACAAAAACGATCGGAAAAGATTAAAATATTAAATTTCACTCTAGAAAATTCCCGACAAGTCAGCAAAGGTTGAAATTTGCATATTTTTGGAATTTCTACGCTTTTCGCTGTAAAATCCGGCTCGAAATTCCCTTAAAAGAACCAAGAGTTGCCGGTCCATATAATCCGGTCAACCCTAAAACATAAATATTTTTGAGAAATTTCGGGGCTCGGATTTTGGAGGAAAAGGTGTAAAAGCAACGAAAATTTGCAAATTTATATATCTGAATATCGTATCTATGAGATTTTTTGGAGGTTGTCGATGCCTTTAAAAGGGCGGGTTTTCGAAATCCAAAACCGGAAAATCGGGATTTTAAGAAGTCTGCGGCCCTCTAAAACCTGAAAAAATTAAGATTTTCTGCGTTTCTTAAAATTGAGAAGTTTGGAATCCAGATGCGAAAATTTTTTTACGCTTCCCAGTCCCTTTGAAATCCTAAAAAAGCGCTTGTGGCCCTCATTTTCTGAGCTCCCGCGGCTCCTAGCTCCATACAGGGTCTTCTTGCGAATTGGCCGATTGCCAAATCGCAATTATTCTTTTTGTGAATTTCGTTACCCCACGTGCCTTCACCGTCCCTTTAATTTATTGGTGTGTTTTTCTTTGAGTTACTGACATTATACCTATTTGGTGCCCAATTTCCTGGCTTTCACACACCGTATCCCCCCTATGAAATTTGCTGCAAAAACCCCGAAAAACTTTCCATTACTAAAAAAAAAATTGCGCAAATTGTGATCCCCCGTCTACCCCCAAAATGCCGGCGACTGTCTTTCGGTGTCAAAAAATACAATTTAAAATGTTTAAAAAATTAATTAAATACTGAAAATTGTCCACTCCCGTATCCCGATCGAAATCCGAAATCCCGAAATCGATTTAAAATGTCCTCGATCGATTAAAAATCATTTAAATTTCAACAATAGCTCTAAATAGCGTATCGAAATTCTAAACAGATTAAAAAAACAAGAATTAATATCTAAAAATGCTCTAAATTGCTTCCAAAAACTAATTACTGGCTGAAGAGCGCTCTAAATATCGTGCCCCAAGTTTTAAATCGATTTAAAATCATTAGAATTTTAAAAATTGAGCCGCCTACGGCAAGTCAATCTTTGTCCGATTTTTTCACGATGTACATAACATTTCTTTGTCCATTTTTGAGAGAGGTACGTACCCCACCATGCTATATAAAAAAATCCCGTTTTCACTACCCCCATATATTTCATTTTTTCCTATATTTGTCTTTTCTACGCGTATACCAATTATCGATTTGCTCATCACCCCCACGCGCGGCGCACCGCCTCTTTTCGCGTGCGTTTTTGCGTGTTTTTCCATTTTTTCTATTCGTGTATGTTCGTTTCGTGTCCTTCCTGAACCATTTGCACAAGGAGATAAACATGTAAAAATTGTAGAAATGTTGACTAAAATCGTACAGCACTATACAAAATCCAATCAGTTCAATTAGGGGCGGTAACAGTTTTGGTAGTACACTACGCTACGATACAACGAAACTACAATCTGCGCCAAGTTACAGATATTGACATGAGTGGCTTTAGAAAATCACCATTCGGAAAGGAAACGATTTTGAACATTATTCTAAAAATCTTGTTTTCGCAAAGCATCTTGCGAGTCTGTTTTAAATGTTTTCGAATGTTTCAATTGTTTCAAATCCTTTCAAACAGTTGGGTATGAATCAGATTTAAGTTTTCGAAGAACTCGTTTTAGGTAAAGCGGATTATCGAATTTTCTATATTTCGCAAAATTCATTTTTGTCCGGATCATTTTCGAATAGGTGAAAGCTATTGTTTTGAAAACCAATGTCGTTTTCGAGTTCGTTTCAAAATGGTGAGCGCAAAAAAAATGTCGAGTTTCCAAAAAAAAAGTTCTGGTTTTAAAGGCCAAAAGACGTTTTGATTTGCTATGCTATCCTGTTAGCTTATTTCTACGCAAACGTGCCGCGTTTCAACTCTGATAAAACCGTTTATTATAACCAAGTAAGGCACACAGAAACAGTCATGGATATGGAAAAGCAGATTTTGCACTACAAACTAAATCCTACCTTATATAATTTGGTCGCGTATCTTTGTGTGTGTGTGTGTCCGGCGCCAGGGAAGGCTACTTTGCATAATGCCAAAAAATACAAATTTCCTCATTCTTGCAAGTTGCACGCGCGGGTTTGGTCGGAGGAAGGACCCAAGATATCGGAAAGTCAAATTTCTCATGCAAAGGCCGCATTCCAGCGCCCAAGGCCCGCGAAGCGGGTTTTGGGCGCTGGTTAGAGAATGGTTACACTGCCAGTAAAGAATTGAGGACAGTTGGTAGAGAAAAATCGATTAAAAAAAGCAGTAAATTCATGTCATGAAGCTCATCAGTGAATCCCGTGGTGGTAAGGAAACGTAAAGAATTTAAAGAACAGTTTTTTGCGTATTATTTAGTTTAGCAAGCAAGGCAAAGGAAAAATGAACTTGTTGAACTCGAAGTTCTTAAAAATTTGACGAGAATCTGAAGAAATTATTCAGTTTGTGCATCTACTCAAACTGAGCCTTGGTGAACTTAGGGTTATCGAGAACATCCTCAAGATCGACAACGATTTTTGGCCTGACGAGGTTCGCCTGGTGGGCCGAGAGGCTGCTGGTGGTGCTGGAGGCCGAGCCGGTCGAGGCGTTCGAAGTGGTCCTATGGTCCTGAGGCAAAACTCCACCCGCAGCCAGGATGCCCTTCTCGATGGCCACGCGCTGCATTTCGAGGACACGGTGGAGGCGGCTGTTCTGGAAAAGGACAGCTGGTTAAAGGAATTCGCAAGATATAACTATGGATTTCCGATAAATTTGCTGCAACGAGACACGCAACTTGACACGCAACGCGAGGCCTCGTGGCCCGATCACCCCTTAAAGACCGCCAGAACGATGAAATTCCGTCGAGAGCAAGAAAGTCTAGCAGTCTTTAAGGCCCCGCAGCTCACGCGTCGGGTGTCGCGGGCCAAACGGAATATTTTGTGGTTCTAGGCGCCTTAACTGCTCCTTAAAGCTGCCTGGAAGCACCAAAATCAACCCTCCATTTAGCTAGGTCTCGACGAATACGCTACGCCCCGAAGGACAACAAAACTCTTCTCTTTGCAAGCGTCTATAGGGCAAGCGCGCAGCGTTTGATCCTATTCTATGGAGAAGGTCTTTTTCATCGGCATTACTAACCTCCTCCAACATCCTTGACGACAAGTTGTTGTGCCCCATCACGTTGCGGGCCAACCGGAAGTCGACGCACACTAAAAACAAGGCTTGAAATTTCGCGTTCTTGATAACCGGTTAAACTTGGCTCCTAGCATTTGTGATTAACTTATTTAATGACTTTTATTCCCGTATTTAGCGTCAGTTTTTTACTTACTCCGATAAATCGAGTGCAGGGCTGCAGCAAGCAGGAACAAGGCAAGGGCGATCAAGAAGGCCTGAGAATTTTGAGATAATTTAAGCTTAAAAATACCTGGACAAAAGGGATCAAGCTCTCCGCGTTGTTCATCAGCGTCTTGGCTTCGTCTAAAAAGTACCTTTAGGAAAACCTCATATTTTTATGAGGCGGTATTTCCAAGAAAAAAGAAAAACCAACTAACCCAGGACTTCGTTCGTCTTATTCAGCGTCAAACTCAAATGGTCCTCCACAGCCTCGCCAGTCTTCGCCATCGTGCCGACCGTCCCTAAAGGACGATCAGATAAAGCTAAAAGTACATACGGACGCTCGGAGAGAGCACTTCTTTAAAAAAAAACATTGACGTTAGCCATTCTTAAAGACCTATGTCAGCAACGCCAATTTTTCAAGAATCCGGCAAAATTTGCATGCGAACCCTTCGGGTCGTTTCGCGCATAATAATTTAAGAAAGTTATAATAAAAATCAAATCCATACCTTGAAAGTGGTTTTTCGATATTTTTCCTTTTTCTAATGTTTTCGATTTACATTTTTGGCCTTGAATTTTCAGGATTTTCGATATTTTTCGACATTCTGTTAACGTAATGGATAAAGCATCAAAGAATATTCTAAGGGTTTCATATGTAGCGCAAAATCGTGTAATTTAAAACAAGAGAAACTATTGACCAAAACGCCCAGAACCGAAAAAATTTGCTGGATACCCAAAGTAAATTTTTAATTTTTATGAAAGATAAATTTTAGCCGTTTAATTACATCTTTGATCTCTCACTTACTAGCAACAGTATGCGTCGGGAAGAACATTCAGCATGAGGTGTTCGTGATACACAGGTGAAACCTTAAAAACGTTATATAAAGATATTTGAAAGATTCGTTTAATTAAATTACCACAAGAAAAGAATACATACTATTATTAGAAATTTTTTAATGCAGATACTCCAGGCAAAAGACTGTTTTTTTACTCAAAGCGAGTCATCATTTCATAAAAACACAAGCGAAAATCGTGGCGTAAACAAAAAGGCACATTTCACGAGCCGTACTATGCTACATTGGTTTTTATAGCGTCAAAGCTCAAGTAACTCGAGTTAAAGCTATAATATTGCATCAGATGAAATCAGAATCAAATCAGCGAGTCTGGCGAAGGAAATTCATTTCAACCGGCCGAGAGTGCCGCCGGCAAATATTTTGGAAATAGATGGAGCCCGGGGGCGGTGAGCGGGCGAAAAATGTCCGGATGCATCGATTTTATCACAAAAAACTGTGGGCTCGATTAAATGAAAAAAAACAGCAAAAGCACTTAAGAAAAATAGGGTCTTGCAGATGGGAGATCACTGGATTGAAATTGCTTAATTTCGTCTAACTTCATATTATCTGAGTTTTAGAAGAGTTAAAAATGTTTAAAACAAGCAAAACAAAAACAGATTTATAAGTGTTTAGTTTTCAACCAAAAAATGCCCTAGACTTTTTATCTAATCGATTCCTAGCTAGTGGAAACTTTTATCTCATGCCATCATCACTCTCTTTTGGCACGCTTTGCTTATCCGCCAAAATCTGATTGTTTCGGTATCAGCATCGAGCGATTATATCAAACGATGCTCTTTGCATCCGGAAACTCGACTAGGGGAGCCGTGAGTCATAGAAAAACGACGGCTAAATCATGCGTAAAATGGTAGCTTTTTAAGGTGTCCGACAAGGTTTGCAATCGACACATCTCGCTGTCCTTACATCGGATTCGGTCAGTGCTTCAACGAAAAACGAATAGGATTCCATGAATTATAAAAAATCATAAAACGTAAGTTATTTGGATCCAAAAATCGATGAAAATGTCTAAACAAAAATATCTAATTGATACCAACAAAACCCCGGGCAGATCTGAAGTGAATGCGGCAACCCCTTGTCTCTGGCACCCCCATATGCCGGAGGGCACATCGGGTATGTTATGATTGTTTGAAGAGGGGCATCTGCGCCCGATTGATACGCGCATTTGTCAATTTTTGGTTGCATCATTGGACCATAAAATTTACAACCAAAATAAATTAATAGAAGAATCGTTTGAAAAAGCTTACCACAAAGAAGGTAACCTTATGCCCCAGGACTGCCGTTCCATTAAAATCTAGCAAAAAGAGTTACACTCAATTTTTCAAGATCTAATGGCAAATCGAGCGCTGGAAAATCAGCTCTGTCAAATAATTTTCGGAGCAAGAGCTCCTGTCCCACCCAGTCGTCTTTTTGGATGATTCATAGGGTGCCGCGGACCCTGGCCGATCGGACAAGAAATTTAGAATCGTTTGAATCGTGTCCCGAAAGGGCAACCGAGGTGCTCAGGCGAACGGCAGCAACAACACCGATCAACAAACAGCAAGATTGGTAAACAAAAATAAGACGTAAATGATGAGTTTTTTTGTAAAACAACGTATTAAAGCCAGATTCAGGAAAAGGTTAGCCTGGACGGATACGTGTTCAACAGGTTTTCAAGTCAAAATTAAACTGCGTTGTATACAAGGCAAGCTAGCAGCGATCCCTTGTGTAAAATTTCAGCTATTTGATTCAAGAAGGGATACGTCTAATCTTTTGCCGAATTCGTGTCACCAGCTCAGCGGAAGCTTGACTAGGTAAGCTTGGAAGGGCTGCTACGCGCTATGTTTTACTCCCATTGCCACACATATACCTAAGCATTGTGATATAAATTAGACTATCTAAAAAATGCGGAAAACTTTCGTTGGTAGACCCTCAAAATTGAAGGCAAGCAAGTGCTGTAAATGGCAGTTGAGGGGCGGAGCGCGCGTGTCGCAGCTGGCGAATACTGTTTTTCTGCCCCCGGATGGGGTGACCAGATGGGGAAATTGGGAGAAAACTACCGTAAGCCTGGGAAATCGAGGAATTTTTGTTTATGCTTGTCGCACCAAAGGTTTTCAAGCGTATCCATATGGGGTTTTGGTCGAAAACTACCGTAATCTAGCGGAAAACGTCGAATATGTTTACGCCAGGTTTAGGCCGTAAACATTCCTCAGTGACATCTGCAAAACAACTTCTTTGCGTCAAAAAAGTTGGTGATTTTGAATAAATAGAAAATGCGACTTAAAGCCCCTAACCGTCGGGATTTTGATAATAAAACATACGCCAAATCGCAAAGACTCTATTCAGACTTAGCTGAATAAAATGACTTTTTAGGTTCCTTATGTAAGCCATCGAGAAGGGCCAAGCATAGTGCCGCTCCGGGGTCACCAGATCAGGTGTCAAATAAATAGGCCGGGTGGGGCGGAGGCCCGTGAAGTTACGTAATCTGGTAAGCTAGGTACCCAGAAACGGGGGTGCGTCCGGTCAGTTTAAAGCCCAGAGCAAGAGCTTTGGGTCTACGGGTCTTGAAAATTCAAGCATTCCGGCTTGCATTTCCGGCAAGGCCCAAGAAAAACGACAAAAAGTGAGATCCCCTGATTTAAATCATACTAATTAGCATATGTGAATTTCCTGCCTCGAAAGACGAACGCTTCTTTTCCTTTTTGTGGATCATTTCTTACCCCTTCTCCCCCATCGTCCCGTCCTCCTGCTCCCCCCCACCCCACCCCCTGCCAGACGATGAGCATCGACACGAAGAAATTTCTGCTGCAGGTCGACCCGATGGGCGGAGTAAGTGAAATATTCACTAGTTTTGATTGTCCATTATTTTCCGGAGTCGTCCCGGCTGAAGAGACTGTTTGTGAGAGAAGCGTTGCAGATCCGTTTCCATCGAGACCAAAAGGGGCACATCAAGGCCACCTTCAAGCTCAGGAACAAGAGCGACTATCGGCAGGCTTTTAAAGTGAGCGCCATTTTTAGAGAGGGCGAGAAAGAGAGAAATAGAGAGAGCGAGAGAGAGAGAGAGAGAGAGAGAGAGAGAGAGATAGAGAGAGAAAGATAGAGAGCATCCAACTTTTGAGGGTGAGTCAGGAATCTGCGAGGGCAAGCTAGCATGGCTGCTTTGAGACTCGCGGAATTTTTCTCATTCTTACAGAGATCGGCTTGTCAAGCTAGCAAAGAGCCGTTCTCACGGCCCTCATTTTCAGGTAAAATGCTCACGGAACGATCTGTTCAAAATTAGGCCGCCGATGGGGCTACTCGACTACAAGCAGGAGGCGGTCATCGAGGTCGACTTCAAGTGGGACATGATTTTCAATTTCCCATCGTCGCTGAATAATCGGAAATCCGCTCCTTTTTAAAGGGCTCATAGGTTTCATCGGTAAATTTCCTCACCAAATTCCGATATTTCAGACCAAAAGACGGGGAGCTGCCCAGCGAGGAGCGCCACTTCTTCGGCATCTACCATATCCCGGCACCGGAAGGTATCCGAAATCTCTCGCTCCCGCGCTCCCTCTCTCGCTCTCCCTCTTTCTCTCTCTTTCTCTCTATCACTTTCTCTTTCTTTCTCTCTATCACTCCCTCACTATCGCTGTTCATTCTCAGTCTCCTTTTTCATCGCTATCCTGCTCCCTTTAAATCCAAATTTTCAGGCTGCACAGCCGAGGGTGCCTGGTCCGAGCACTACGGTGTCGCGCAAGGGGAATGCCGCGTGAAGGTCCAGTTCGACATTTTAAAGGTATTTTAGCCGTATTTTTCCTATACATCCTTGTTTTAGGACATGTACGAGACGAAGTGAGGGCCTCGGGACCGCCTCGTCCGCCTGTTAATGACTGAATTCGCTCTTTTCGTTGTTTTGTATAACTGCTTACAAAAATTTGTGTGATGCATTGTGGGTTTAAGGTCGGCATAAAGATGCGCAATTATTTGGTGTTGAAAGCGGGGGAAAGAGAGAGAGAGACACAGAGAGAGGCAACGAGGAAGCGCGAGACACCGAGAAAGTGAGAGACAGCTAGAGAGAGCCCGAAAGCGAGTGACAGCGAGGAAGCGAGAGACATCGGAAAAGCGCGAGACACCGAGAAAGCGAGAGATACAGAGAAAGTAAAAGAAAGCGAGGAAGCAAGAGAAAACGATCGATAGCTAGACTTAGCCAGAGATAGCGAGCGAACCAGAATTAGCGAAAGAGAGATAGAGAGATAGAGTGAGAGAGGGAGGGAGGAGGAACTGAGAGACAGCGAGAGAGAGAGAGAGAGAGAGTGTTTTTATATCGATATCCTTTGTTGCATTGTCAACCATTTTTCATTAATAAATAGTTTATTAATATTAACAGGAAGGGTAGCTTGGAGAGTGACTAACACGTTTCGGCCAAGTATAGGAGATAGATGATGGAGGGTAGATGGGGTGTGGGTAAAAGAAAAAACAAGTATTTTTAGGTGGGCTACCAGCTTCAAGCGTATTCATCGTTCGGCGCGCGTGGGGGAAGGGGTGAAAATTGGAAAATAAGAGGTTTAAAGGGACTGTGAAGGCGGGAATCCATAGGCAGACGACTCTCGAAAATTCTATGGGTTTTTCAGATGTCATTTACGCATTTTTGGCTTGAAAAATCATCTAGAAATTCTTTCCCAAATGCTGAGATCATAGATTCCTGCCTTCACATCTCTTTAAAAAGTTAAATCAGCTGAAAAAGGGTTCAAAATTAAAAGTTTCGTTTTTATGGTTTTTTTTCAGCTGATTTTCGTATTCTAATCCCAGAAATTTTAATTCTTAATTTTTCGTAGCTACTAGTCTGAAAAAAATAAAATAATGTACGTACCGGGAATTGAAAATTATAAATCCGTAACTAGAATTAGCATAGAACAAAATTATGTAACAAAAGATGAATTTCCAAAAAGTATAATCAATGAATCATAAATCAACTACAAGGAATGACAAATTACGGAATAGTATAAAAGTCCAAAAAATCAAAATTGGCTCCGAACTACGCAGGACAAAAACGTACAACTCAGAAAACCATAGTGGAAAAATCGTAAAATTAACATATCCCAACTAAACTGTACAAATGACGCAAAAATATACGTAAAATCGTAGTATAAAAATTAGCATAAAAATTGGTATACATATTTCGATTTTGAAAAGCCTAACGAGTTCAACGTTGTGTGTGAAACGTACAGAAATTGCCAAAAAACGTTTAAAAAAATCGCGAAAAAATAAATTTGAATATTTACCAAAATCAGGAGGTATTTTTGCGGGGCTAGCCAGGTTTGGTGAAAGCGTATAAGGTATAAAATTAGCATAAAATTAATTTTTTTAGAATTTTGCGCCTACTTGGTTGATCAATTTTGAGGGTTTTCGACAAAATTTTCGACATTAAATTGCAAAGATCCTAGATTTTGAATTTTCGGGGGGTGATTCGCTGGGTGGGCGGCTAAAAGATTGGGTAATTCTAGAAACACAGAAAATATATAGAACTAGCATATAGAAAAATATACACATAACTTTTCGGTGGAGTTTCGGTCCTAATTTGCATAAATTTAGCTTACGTCGTCAACAAATCGAGTTTTTAGAACAAAATCTACATATTGAATTTTTAAAGGGACTGGGAAGCTTCAAAAATCCATAAATACTTAGCTGTCCCTTCAAAAATTCGTTAAAAATTTTTTAAGGCTAACAATTTTCGGTAGAAGGAAGTGAATTTGCTAAGAATTTCGGATCAGGTAGGGCCAGAGCGAGAGAGCATTGGGAAGGGGAGGGGGTGAGATACAGAGATTATGTACATAGGTTTTCCTGGCGTCATTGATTCTGGGGTGGAGAATCGGGCACTGGGAGCGGCTTCCACACGTCGTCGGTTGGGTTCTAGAAAGGAATAAGGTGAAGTTTTTATAGCGTAATCTATTGTTTTCGTCGTATTTCCGGCAGGAATCTCTGCGACCCTGCCTGCCATAGCACGAAATTGCTCATAAACGGTTATTCCGGATTTCCTCAAAGATCCCTGCTAACTTGCCACGCTTGAAAAATGTTTTCAGAGTCAATTGTAAGCGTAAATTTCCGCCAAGGATTATTGCGAGTCTGCCCTGCCACCTCTGCTAGCCTGCCTCAGAAGACGAACAGAAAGATGACCTGAACGTCTCCAAAAGCGCGGACGTCCTTTTGTTTTTTTCCCAAGAGATCTTTGCTAGCATACTCATACAATTTCGCGTAATTAAATAATTTCTAGTGGAGCTCTGGCTATTGATTTTCCCCTAATAGTCTGTGCTAGCCGGCCCCTGACCGCTTATAGCGAATGATTAGGCTTTTAGTTTAACAAAGTCAAGTCCAAAAACTGACCCCAAACAGATTGTAACTGCTAGTCGGCGGTGGCGGTGAGCTGAAGTCGACGTTCTGGCCAACAGGTCCTGCTTGTATTTGCATGCGTTCGATTTGTTGCAGCAGTTGATCCCTCTCGAATGCCGCCTTCTCGGCCACCATCTTGTAGTAGTCGCAGTTGCTCTTCCATGTCTGGGCGGCGATTTGGGCTTCAGCCAGTTTCTCTTCAACTCTTCCCTGGCCGTTCGTCATGCCGTAGTCTTGGATTGGGTTGTCTAGAAAAAATTGGATTAGCAAAAACCTGAATCCCTCAAGGTTCTCTGCTAGTTTTCTCTCTATTTGACCGAAAAATCTGCGTTAGCAGTATATTTGAATCATTTCCCTATGAATCACTGCTAGCTTGCCTACTTGAGAATTTTAGGCTGGAATTATAAAATTTATTCTATTTTAGGCATCCCCAAGAATCTCTGCTGGTATGCCAGACTTCAAAAGTTGTCCCAAAAGCAGTGTTCCTTTTCCCAAGGGCAGCTCGGCTAATTACAAGCTATCCAAGGCCCAATAACGATCAAAATTTGCCTACCCGTTCCCTTTAAACCCATTAAAAATTACCATGTGGATGCTTCGGTTGGCCGGGGAATCCTTGGAATGGCGGTAGACTCCCGGGAGAGTGCATCATTTTCTGTGGTTGTTGGAAGAGGGCTTGGGTGCCGTCTTGGCCAAAAGGTGAAGCCACGAATGGTTGTGGGCCCGCGCCATCCATCTGCAGACCGCCACGCCCCGGTCCGCCAATGTTCATCGGGGATGGCACTAAAAAGACATGGTTTTTCTGCAATTTATAGAGTTTCCCGCGCTTAAGAGCGCGGGTTAATCTTTAAAGCTACTTACATGACGTGCTGAAGATGTCTGAAAACTTGTTGGTGTCCCGGTGCTCATCAATGGGGGCCAAGTCCAGGCTCAGCTCCTCCATCGTCGACGACACCGCATGGAATCCGGAGTCGGATCTGCACAGGTTGGAGGCGTTGGCCAGGCCGCCGGTGTCGCCCTGGGTGGCTCCCCACTGGCCGGAGAGCATGGCGGCTAGAAAAGTGGGTTTAAATGGGCCGTGATACCAAGAAAATCCTTGAAGCCCGAAAATTTGAAGCCACTTACCTCTTCTCGCCATATCCAGGGTCCCAATGTTCAGCGAGTACGTTCGGATACGCTGGTCGGCTTGGCAGTTGGGCTAAAATACGAAGGATTGCTCAGAAAGAGAGAGAAGGAGAGGGCGAGAGTGAGAGAGAGAGCAAGAGAGAGAGAGAGAGAGAGGGAGAGAGGGAGAGAGGGGGAGCAACAAAACTTACCGAAAGTGGTCCTCTCTCAAATCCAGGTGCCTTTGGGTAGCTGCTCGACATCAAGTCGTCACGACTCGACGAGAAGGGACGACCATTTGGTATCGCTTGAGCCCGAGATTTCACCATGTTCTATAAAATAAATAAGTCACCAGCGCGCTCAGATAAACCAGAAAATTCTGCGTTGGTATATCCCGTTAAAAGGTGTTCTACGTACTCGTATTACCAACCTGATAACCTCCATTCAAATTCAGCCCATTCGTCGAGCCATTCAGCGCGGCCGGGGAGCCAAGTCGATAGTCCGGGCTGCCGTGTTCTTTCGGTGAATTTTGGCTGGTGTAGGCGTATGGGGTCCTCTGGACGTGCATCTCCGAGTCGTGATGGGCAAACGCGCAGAAGACAGCTCGAGGGCAGTAGCCGTGCTGAAATATGGAATGTTATACATACTTTTTGACACGACTCAAGGAAAATCAAGGAATTCCACAAAGAATCTTTGCTGGTTTGCCCTCCTTACCGCGCCTAATTAGTTTAATTCCTTACCTCTAGCATATCATTACACTTTGTGCTCTTGTAGATCTCGGGGTGGAATTGCTGCTCGGTTCTCGTGTGGCAATACCCGCAATTGTCGCCCTGCTCGCACAGTTCCGGGTCGAGCCACTCGTCGGCGGTTTTCGCTGCCGGGCACGGGGTCGAGCTGAAAAAACTTAATTTAACGACTGTTGCAGGCTGGTTTTGTCGCAAGAAACTCAAAACAACGCCAAAAAGTTCTCGAAAAATCACCAAAGCTTTTGAAAATCCGGTTTCAAATTCACAACCCATAAAAATTCATTAATTCTATTGGTGTCGAGTTTAAAGGACCATTGAAAGCATCGCTTGTTAGAAACGCTCAAAATTTACACGAAATTTGTTTTAAAATAATCTTAAAAAATATTTAAAAATTTAGTTGTTCGTTCGCAATTGAGAAAAATGGCTGATAAACTGGCTATTCAAGGAATCTCATCAGAAAATCTTAGAAAAACCCTCAGAAAAGCCTTAAGAAAATTTTAAAAATTTCATCTATGAAAATAATGGAATTTGACGTCTAAAATTCATCTTTTGGGCCAAAATACCCTCAATATCAAAACCTCGTGATTTCCCGATCCAAACGACAATCACAAAAATTTTGCCTACGTCGTCCCCAGATACCGTAATTAGCGCCCATTTTTCGCCATGTTTTTGCCGAAAAACAACCCGAGAATATCCCGTAATTACGCACCGATACTTGAACACGGCCGGTTGCCTCCGTCTATCCTTGCTGTTATGGTAGAAGGGGCACGCGTAGCCCTGGCGGCACAGTCTGGCCGGTTTTCGGCACTGCTCGGTTTTGTAGCAGGATAGCACGTGTTCTTGGCCTAAATTCATTGCGTAATCGGTTGCTAGGTACGTATGCAGCGTAAGGTATCATCTACTAATAGTTATAAAAAAGCTTACGACAGTCCAAAAACCCACGGTGCCACAACGGATCATCGATGACGAATGAAGTACGGTCACGGCCGTCAGTGTCGCCGAGGCAGCCGGCGTACGCCGTTTCGCTCGTGTCGTGTTGGGGTTGACGGAGGTCTTGAAAACGCGTTTAGATTGGATTTTGGGGTTTAAAGGAACGATAAAGGGCTAGGATTCGAGGTTTCTCGTCGACTAGGTCTAGACAAATTTGAGCGGCTCTAAACCAGGCTCAATTTAGCGGACCTAAAACATTTTTCAGCAAAAATTAACGAGTTTTGATTTGTTTTTTCGCTATGGCGCATATTTGTCGAGACCTAGTGGGAGGAGGGAGTTGATTTTTTGGATTTCTAGCCCTTTAAATGAACCATGACAGTAATCGCTATGCATCGGAGGCGAAATATGGTAATATTACGGGATGAAAAAGCCGTATCGTTCCGTTTTTATGCAACTACGCAATAATACGTTCCGAACAATTCAACAAAACGTTAGATGAAGTCTACTAACCTTGTTGGGAATGCGCAAACGCGCAGTGCGCCCCATTTTTCACGCACTGGCCCCGGGCATCTGTTGGGTGCACGCACTGGGCCGTCTTGTAGTAACGTAGGTGGTATTTTCGCTCGACGTCTCCGCTGACACGGTGCAGGTAGGGGCATCTGAAATTAGACAATATTATTTATTCTAAAAATTACAACGACGTTTCGCTCACGCCAAAAGCTCCGCAACCCTTACTTAGGCTATCTTACACAAGCAAGCTGTTAAATATCAGGTTGGATAATAAGTTATGTCACAATTTTTTGAAATCGCTCGTTAAAATCGCAGATGTTTCCAATTCTGGAGTATGAGGTATGGATTGATAGGTCTCACAACACTCTATTCTGGGAGGACCCTCAATTGACGGAAAAATTGAGCGACGTCGAGATACAGGCCCGAGAAGTTTTCCGCAAAAACGTACCAAACCTATTTTGCAAGCTATCTCTGCATAGAGCAATTTGCATGCGATACCTTTGACACCAATCGATAGCTTACGAGGAGTAGATATCGATAGATGTTGAGATCATCAAAATCGGACATCGGATGGCTGAGATACGACCCCTTGAAATTTGGCCCATTTCTTAGAACTTTTCCCAAAATCCCATACATTTGATAGCCCGCAGCCAAAACTGACCGCTTGATTTTCAAAAGAACCGAGCGCATTTTGACCAAATGTATGGGATTTTGGGAAAGTTCCAGGAAATGGGCCAAATTTCAAGGGGTCGTATCTCAGCCATCCGATCTCCGATTTTGATGATCTCAGCATCTATCGATATCTACTCCTCGTAAGCTATCGATTGGTGTCAGGTATCGCATGCAAATTGCTCTATGCAGAGATAGCTTGCAAATAGGTTTGGTACGGTTTTTGCGGAAAACTTCTCGAAGCTCTATCTCGGCGACTCTCAATTTTTGGGTGCGAGGAGGGTCTACCCAAGGTAGAGCTTGAGGAGACCTATCAAACCCTATATCACACTATTAATATGCGCACGTCTGCAGCTTTAACAAGCGATTCCAAAAAATTGTGACAGAATTTATTATCCAACCTGATAACTCCGGAAGCCATTGTTTTTTTTCTTAAAAATCAAAAGCCTTTCCGGAACGGATTCGATACCTTAAGTTATGATTTTTGAAAAAGTGAAACGTTTACGAGTTTAATCGAACACGCTAGGAAAAGCAGCAGTCTCTTGGGTACGACAGCGCCTATTTACGTATTTAGCTATCGGTTGTAAGCGTCTTCTTAAAGAATTTTGCCGTTTATCCGGGATCATCGTAACTTGCGCGATTTCACACGTCTGGACTTTACGGCCCCTTTAAAACGTTTCGGAACACTACACTCCGCCACGGTCGGTCAAAAAATCCCTTATCCCCATTTTTGTCAACAGTTTCCCCTGCTCTAATAAAACTTGGATCGAATCACCTTCCCGAAAAAATACGATCCATTCTAGCGATGCAGGTGAACACAGCTGTTATTTTCCCCCATAGTCCAAAACGGGCCCGGGTGTCCTCGTGGTCGCCCCGAAAAAAGCAAATAAAGGCCCGTGGGCGGACAAGAGGGGGAAAAGGCTTGTTTATATGGAAGCGCGCTATCCAAATATATTGTTTTGAATGGGACTTGGAAGTGAAGTTTTTGCTGTGTATTTTTTTGGAAAATGCCCAAAAAAGCTATTCTGATTGGTTTTCCACTCAGTTTCCGGACTGCGTCTTAATAGATTTTCTAAAATCCGCTTTAAAGGTGCAGTCAAGTTAAATTTCGGGTTCTGTATAGCCGAAAAATACATGTAAAAATGGGAATTGCAGTGATGTTTGCATTAAGCGTAATTTAAAAGACTTTAGGCCTTTTTAGCTCGGAAAAGCCCACAAGTTGAGTAGACAAAATGTTATAAATATGAATAGGGAAACAACGTAATAAATTGAGCTTTAATTAAGGTTTTCTGATAAATTTATAATGTATGTCTATTAATTATTTATGTCTGTTTCTTCAATTTTTAAAATTGGCAGAAATGTCGAAAAATAATTCCTGAAACTTTACATTTAATTTTCTAATTCTTCCGGCTTTCCAAGCCCTTTATGAGCCCCAAAAAAACAGCCCAGCGCCCTCGGATCTTTTGGTTAAATCTCCAACAGCATTAATAAATGCTTTTTATTTTTTGAATTTGGCAGAAACAGTTAAATTGTTTCCTGCAATTTTGCTGTCAAAATTTCTAGATGTTCGGCCCGTAAAACTAACCCATCACCATCGGCGCAAATGCCGGTGTTCTCGTCGTATTTGTCGCAGTAGATATCGGGGGAATAATTGAACGATCCATCAGGTCTTCTCGTCGGTTTTCTTCTTCTCTGATTCGCGAAATGCCAGTTGAAACAGGTGTACGGTCTGTGTTGTTGGCATTGGTGTTGTTTGAAGAGGGGGCACGCTTCCACGCGGAACCCGTCAAGGTAACTGAAAAATAGGGGAATTATATAAATTAACCATTTACGATAGTTTTCATTCCAATTTTCCGATTTACAATACCAATTTTTAGTCCTGTTTTTTTAGTTCTTGTGAAACAATTGAACTAGACTCTAAATGTCAGCAATTTTGTATAATCTTATAAGCCCCAAAATCTATCGATTTTATAGGTATTACGTTAGTATACGAAACGACTTAATTAAATTTTTACCCTTGTTTTCATCATGTTTTGAGGGAATTTTTTATTCTAAGGGCATAAAGAACAAGAAAAATCAGCATTACGCTATGAAAATCGATATGCGAAAAGAATCATCTTCCAAAAAAATCCGAAATGTCTTTCGGTACTGATTGCTTAGTTTTATACAAATTACCTAGCTTATAGTACAAACAAAAATACAAACAAAAATAGCGTTAAGCTATCGTTAAAAAAGACAAATGAATTTACGAAAATGCAAATAATGGCACGTAAATTTACGAAAATGAAAATTCCAAAAATTACTTTCGATCCTCGTTTCCTAGCGGCATTGGTCACATCAAAATGCTATTAGAAAAAGAGTATTGGTAGTAGCAGAAGAATATAAGCAAACTTTAAATTCTACAGCAAGAAATATATTTAGAATGCAGCAAAAACGCGGTGGAACAGGGTTTTTCAAGGTTTGCCCTGGCTGCCTGTTTGGGGGGCGGTGTTTATGTGGGCCAGAGCAGCAGGCGAGGGCGAGAGAGAGAGAGAGGAGAGAGAGAGAGAGAGAGAAGAGGGACTGGGCTCTACGATTCATCGATTGCTGCGACACTCCCCCTTTTCTACACTCACACAACCAACTAACCGATCACAGATCATTTCCACCCTCATTTTTCACCAACAGCCCTTTTCACAGCGTACACAATAAATTTTTCCTGACGGCCCGGAGACGGAAATAATATTTGGGCAGCGTGGGGGAAGGGCTTTGTGGAACTGGGGTTATCAGAAGGTTGTCGAGTAAATTTGAGATTAACAGGTATCGCAGATTGTTTTGGTTAAGAGGAACGTGCCAAGGGAGAAGGGGGTAAATTCGGGGTATCTAAAAATCATCTATAATGCTTAAAAAATCACTTAATAGGAAATGATCCGGTAGAAATCAAGCAAATAACGTCTATTTATGAAAAGTTGCCTAAAAATTAGAACCTCAAAAACGACAATCGCCTAGAAACCTTCGTAATAATTAGAAAAATTTGGGGGAATCCAAACAAATGTTGAATCGATAAAGTTGAATTTCCCTTTGAACAAAATTTGGAAAATGTGCCGTGTGAGGATCAATGATTTTCTCTGGCAACTTTTAACAACTGTAAAATACGTCAAAACATTCATGCTATTTTTAAAAGTGGTCCTAATGCACTCGATTGCTTAGAAAATGAAAACCAGTTTTTTAAGCCAATAAAAAAATTCCAAAAGAGTAGAAAGCCCAAAGTCTGGAAAATTAGATTTTCCACCTCGCCCGGTTAGTCCAAATTTTGCTAAATTCGGTAAAAAATGAGCAATACATCGGAAATAAAAATAGCCATTTCAGGTAAAAATGACCTTTCCATCCCAAAAGTGCAAAGGTCAAGAAAATGGGAGCATAACCGGTTTCTTAACAAGGTATATTTTAGTACGTTATGGCATTTCTCGAAAGTCTTTCCTGAATCTCCAAAAAAGGGTTAAATTTCAGGGTGTTGTAACATAGAAAAAATTTTATAAAACTACCAAACGACGTCATAATATGGCGACAGTACGTTAAGTACAAACAAATCAATAGTCCTTAGAATCCCATAGAGGCTTAGAGTTTAGCTATACAAACCTTTGCTGCACGGGCGTCTCTTGGTGGGGCTCCACAAAACTGAGCATGATCTCCGGAGTACGATCACAAGTTAAGTCGCCACGGAATTAAAGGTCACCCGAGCCAAAAAAATCCGAAAATTTGCCGTCTAGTGAATTTGTAGTGATTGTTCCTAGTAGTATAGCGGAATAATAGAAACTATAGTTTCAGATTTGAATAAGGTATTTATAGTAGGTTTCGGGTGTTGGTTGGTGGGTGCTCGGGGGGTAGTCAAAAGTGGGATGTGGTGCTCTGCTACGGGCCGGGGGAGCTGGGCGGGTTGTTGTTTTGCCCTTTTTGCCGCCCGCCGAAAAGATGCCCTTTTCTATGGAAAAGGGGGTGGAGGGGCGAAAGACGGAGAAAACACGCGCCTACCCTCCTCTTCTCTCTCTCTCTCTCTCTCTCTCTCTCTCTCTCTCTCTCTCTCTCTCTCTCTCTCTCTCTGTTTTCCGGGGGTTTTCCTCCTCCCGGATGGCTTCCCCCGGAATCGAAATGACCGAAAGACCGAAAACAGGCGGGTTTTTGGATAGGGGTTGGCTAGGGGCCAAACGGATTCTTGGCGCGCATGATGGTAGTTGGGGTACGGTAACGGGATGACGCTTGGGGGAATGGATGGGTGGGGGGAGATGGTTGGGATTTGAATGTGACAGCCGATACAGTATCCGGTGTGGAAAGACGGCTGACGGAAACAGGCAGGATGCTGGGGTTTAAAGGGCTCGGGAAGGCAGAAATCGACCAAAAATACCAATTTGACGAATTTTTGGAGTGTTAGGTTGTGAATACGGGTTTTGGAGGAAGATGAAATGTATTCGAGCCACTTCTGGTGATCTTTGTGTTTTAAGGAAATAGGAAGCCCCACAGTCGACCCCCGTCTGGCTGGATCTCGACAGCTACACAACACGCCAATTTACGTGTACAAAAAAAATGAATCCTGGATCAAAATCAAGTTCATATGGCCCAGAAAAGGTCAATAAGAGCGTCATTTGGTGCTAAACATAGACGCCGAGACCTAGTCAAGATAGGGGTCGATTTTCCCCAGCTAGATAGTTAAAATCTATACTAATAAGAATACGTGTAAAAATACTTCATTTCTGCGGAAAAATCAAATGGATATGATCTAAAAAATAAGCAAAATTGGAAGTGTCCGGTAACTGTCCTAGCCGAGCTAGGGGGTCGATTCCAAGTCATTCAAGCAGATTATTACATCTATCTGAGCGTTTTAAGGGACGGGGAACCTTCGAATTCGACCCCTTGCTTGGCAGGACGTCGGCAGCAGCCTTTACGATTGTATTTCGCGCCCCTTGGTGCTTAAGTATAATCAATCAACTATGGTATAATCATGGTATATAATAGTAAATAGTATAATCAATGGGTTTAACTGCGTCATTTGGCGCATCTGTGATTGCTGACACGAAATCAGTCGCTCGGTTCAATTTTGCGTTTCCGGGACCCGTTAGGAGTACACAAAAGTACGGTTTTGGCCTGCCAATCAAAGTTGCCATTTCCACCCGTTTTCTTTTGCCCTTTCCGTGCCTGAAAATATTGTTCGTGTTCCACCCTCTCCCCGCCGCCAAGGGATTTATCCGGTGCGTCTATTTTTCTAGAATGCACTTTCCTCCTCCCGGCTGAATCGTTTTTGCGGTGTAGCTACACTGATCGAATCAGTCTGCCCGAAATACCCAAAATAGGGAAAATTTCTTGGCCGGTTACGGTATGCCAAAACCATGTGATTTTTTGTAATTTATGATGTTTTCATACCTTTTTAGATCAAGTATCGTCTCTGCAAAGTACTGTAGTTTGGATCTCGAGGGGATTGGCGGGTGGTTACTATAACTGGGTAGCGATTTGCGTTGCCCTCAGAATTGGAGGATAGCAATTATAGCAGGGGGCACCTGGTAATTAGGTGGAAATTTGGAAACCGGCCAAATACGTCTGGCAAATATTAGACAAAATGAGATCCTTCAAAAATAGGGAACTAAATTACATACTAAAAACAAAAAAAAAACAAAAATTTTTAATGGTGAGGAAATTTGGAGTTTTTGCCTTCAACGTCCCCTTAAAAATGGCATTTTTCTATCTTTTTATAGTTATTTCAAGATGTTCCGCACTATCGCGGACACTTCCTATCTCTCTCTCTCTCTCTCTCTCTCTTGCTCTCTCTCTCTCTCTCTCTCTTTCACGCTCTCTCTTTTTTCTGATTTTATATCTTACTTTGTTTCGTTCTCTCGCTCTATCTCTCGCTTTTTGCATAATTTTCTCTCTCGCTCTCTAGCACACTCTCTTGCTCTCTCTCTATCTCTCTCCCCTCACTCTCACTATTTAATTATCTCGCTTTCCAACTTTGCCAGATGTCACCACCCCTTTAATCCCGACCCCTCCGACCCCCTGGAAAAAACGGCAATACCCACATATATTTTCCAGAGGTCCACTCGCCGGGCTATGCTCTTTGCAAAACAACGATAAAAAGTGAAACGAGCCACGTGTTCTCGTGTCGAGAGGACCCAAGGCGGCAGCGGGCAGAAAGGGAGCAACAGATTGAGAAGCGGAAAAGGGAAGAGCCACACAAACAACCCCGCAGAACAGCCAGTGCCCAGATAAAAGTTCTTCTTCTTCTTCTGTGGCAATACGGCAAGAGGGCCAGTTTTTTGGGATCTTTTTTTCTAAACTTGCTCTCTCTCTCTCTTTCTCTCCCGTTATCTCTCTTTCTCTCTGCCTCTCTGCCTCTCTCGCCTCGAGTAAACAATGCGAATGGCCATCTGATAATGGAACGTGACTAAAGGGGTGCAAGGGGATAGCGTGTTGGGCTCAATTTTTGGAAAAACAGGCAGCAACGCTGGGTTCAAAGGTGGTAATTTGAACGTAAAGCGGATTTATTTAATTAAGCCATAACTCGCCAAAGAAATTCGAGATTTCTGTCGAAGCGCTAAAGCACGCTAGTTTTCTTTTTACGCCCAAAAATCACGAAAAAAAATTAGTACAAGTTTTCTTGCTTAAAATATAAATCAAAAGTGCTCAAAAATGGATTTTTCATCGAAGGAAAATCGAGTAGATCTTGCGTTGAAATAACCTCGGTTTTAGGATTAAAATAGGGTAAAGCGGCTTTGCTGCCTCCTCCCTGGGTCCTCACCGTCTCCACCATGTTTCCATAGCGTAACTGGTTGGCTTCTTGCCGATGGTAGGCTAAGGTTTGGGCTTAAGCGTAAGCTTCCGGTAAGCGTGGGCTTAGGCTTACGACTGGGCCTAGGCTTACTAGGGAAGTGCAAATAAAAAACCCAGCAAACCGCTTAGCAAAAATATGGATCTGATAGAGTCGGCGACGGGGATTCCGAAACTGCAATCAGAATTTGCTAAACGCTTAATACAAAATAGTTATGAGCATTTTAAGTTTTGCACTACGTTCTCCGCCCTCCCTTATGAGCCCCTCCCAAAGAGCGGTGCTCGTCTGTCGAGTGGTGTAGTGGCTAACTAGTAGGCCTTTGGGGCGGAGGGTCTCTGGTTCGACTCCCGGTCATGCAAAACTTTTTGCTTTTGGTCAAAGTCAACAACTTTAGACTTTTTCAAAGTTTCGAAGTCGGAAAGGTCGTTCTCTTATTTTTTAAATTTATGAAACTGATTGCCAGTGGTGGCGGGAGTGTCAGTACTCTTGCGGATAGGGCACTAAAAAAATTCACTTCTATTTTTTCGTAAGGCAGG